GCGCCAGGCCAGCCAGACCGGTGCCCGGGGGGGGGACCAACTTGGTAAGTTGTTGCCTGGGGGCTTGACTAGTTGTCACGAGGTGCCACGTGTCGCAATTTCACTGGAGGGCCAAATCTGCCCTCATCAATTATTATTAAATTTGTATTCCATTTCTATCATAAATAAAAATAACTTTTATTTTAACAATTATTTTTATTTAATATGATGAATATATAACATTAGAAATGTTTTTGACAAAATTTTGTACTTTTTCATTTTTAGTGTTTTATCGTTTTTAAATATTTAATATTCAATTATGACATAATGGGTTTCTTTGAAAAGTTGGATCATTAACCCACCATCTAGATAAGAAATAAGCTTTGCTTTTAGATTAGGGCAAACTATAGTCAAAGTGCGCTATATATTTAAAATTAGGCTACAAGTTGGTCCAAAAACCAACAAAACTCTAACAACTGGCTCTACATTTCTAATTATAAAACCCCCATCATGTCAGCAAAGGCTTATATGACTATTGCCAACATGAGACTCTTAATCCATGTTGGACACAACAAAAAGCTTATACCGAAATTGCCCTTAATGTTGGGTGATATGGAAAATAAAAAAGGGTTTTTAGTTTATCTCTCTCTCTCTCTCTCATTCCCACGGTCATCTCTCTTTACTCAATGATTGTGTGATTTAAAAATAAATAAAAATGGTTATTGGTTTCTTTATTTACATTCTTTCTATCAATTTCTCTTATTTTCTCTCTACCTATGGTTTTTCCTCAATCTCTCATTTTCTTTCTCTTCCGCTCCCTCTCTTGTTCTTTTATTTTATTTTTTTATCTTTCTTACACACTTATATGGTATTAATCAAATCATATAAAAGAACATGAGACCAATTTGATATGGTTCAAAAATCATTACATCAATTTAATAAAAATTCACAAGAAACTCTTGGCTATGAATTTTACACCAACTTAATAGAAATTTATAACTTGATCATGGGTAAATGTGTTTAAAGTTATTGTAGGTAGAAGATCGGAATCACTATTTACACCATATATGATGCATTTACTCCAATACAAATGAAATTTGCACAAGTAATTGGAGCAATAAGTATTGACTGCCCCCTTGTGCTATATGAAAGAGATAAATAAATAAATAAATAAATAAACTGAAAGAGATGGTGTGACTCGCTCCAATCTTTATTCAATGTTCAAGACAGTATATAACCATAGCGTGGCTCCAATCCAATCTACAATAATTCTTCCCACCGTAAACACAGAAAATATTCTCAATTAAAATGGTTGTAATCTTAGTGGCTAAGAGATCCAATATGCTATTCATGTAATTTCCAATTATAGGTATATATTTCAATTCTCATTTCCATCCTTGTCCATTATCTCCTCTTACTCTCTTATACATTGCAGTCAGCCAGTCATTCAACTAGTATAGTAAAAAAATAAATTCAACGCCATTTTTGCTTTTGGAATAAGGAATGAGGGGAGGCTTGGCCTTTCTTTCCAATCGCACATAAACATGCTTTATGATTTAATTCACTGGTCGGTGAACGCGGAGATAACAGTGGCCGGAGTCAACTCGGTAAAACTCGGTAAGCGTCTCACGTGCGGTTAATAGTATAATTTTATATATTGAACGGTTGACCAAGAACAACAATGTTTCGTAAACGAGTTGGTTTGGTCCAACCCGTCTTTGAATACGGCATGCCTGACATATCTGTTGCATCATGCAGGCCCCTCCCTCCATACTTGCCATTTCCCAAAGTGAAAGAGAAAGACGGGTCTGCTCAACCACTGTGACCCAAATAGAAGAAAATGTTTGTGTTGTGCGGCTATAAGATTTGTGACTAGCGTCTTGTTTCATTATTTGTGGTCAGCAGATACAGAGTCGCCGGGCTTCAGCAGGCTTCTTCCTTTTCTCCCGCAGTCTGAGACTCTGAGGGGCCGTATGAAACATAACGAATGCTGTGGGCCAGTTCTCACTTCTCTCACTCGCTTTTGAGCTCTTGACCTTTTATAAGTGGCCACTGCCCACTGGCCAGTCCTCACCAGATCTACTCTTCTTATCCTTCTCCTGTTCCTCGTTAAATAAGTGGACTTAGGAAAGTTCATCGTCCCACTCGCTCACCGCCTTACCACTTAATTAATTCAGACCTCGTTCCGTTTCTTCTTCACTTCTTGTTCTTTTGTTCAATACTTCAATTGATGCTTCTGGTGTGAGAGAACTTGGAGGAACAAAAACAGGAAGAGATGAAGCAGCGTCGTCGAAGTGAATCGGCCAAGCTCGATCGGAAGATTATTGAGAGAAATAGAAGAATCCACATGAAGGGTCTCTGTTTCAAACTTGCCTCTCTCATCGCTAAGCACCATAACGCCTCTAAGGTACAATTACTTTCCTCTTGCCTCTTGCCTCTCCGACTGGCTGTACAAAGTATATAAGACTGATAATTTCTTAAACCCGGCCCTTTTGTATTTCTCAGGATGCATCGTCGGAAGGAGACAAATTAGACTTAGATCATGCTATCAGCTATATAAAGCAATTGCGAGAAAGAGTAGAAGAACTCAAGGGAAGGAAGCAATTCACAATGAGCATCAAAGGGATAAACACTGACTTCAGAGACACAATGAAAATCGAGTTTACATTGCCCATACTCGAACTTCGAGACTTGGGTCCCAATCTAGAGGTCCTTCTGGTTAGTGGGTTCGACAAAAATTTCCTATTTTATGAAGTAATTAGTCTTCTTGAGGAAGAAGGAGCTGAAGTCGTGAATGCCAGTTTCTCCTGTATTGGTGATAAGATCTTCCACACAATTCATGCCCAGGTAATTAACTTCTAAATTCGAATTGCTTATCATACTTTTTTTTTTCTGAAGATAGTTAAAGAAATTCAAGCTTAGGACACTTTTGATACTTTCAGGTCACTAGTTCTGGAGTTGGCATGGAGATTTCAAGGGTACGTGAGAGGTTGAAGGATTTGGTTCTTTCAATGTTGTCTACATCTTTTATTAATTAAATCCGACTATAGAAACTGCCTTACATAGCAGCATAAAATAGGGGTGTGATAATCTTGGGCAAGGCGATGGGCAGAAGTAACCGATTGTGATACGGTTGTAATTAGTTGATTTGGGTCCTATATATAGCCCACCCATGAAGCCCGAAAAAAAAAACGAGGATTATTCATCCCATATTACTAGGACAGTTGAACAGGACAAGCAAAGACCTGATCAATTAATCAAATTTATGAACGTTTAGAGAGAGATCTTGTAAACATTTAGGGGCGTTCATCAAACATGTATGATTTTATTTTTCAAAAATATAAACAACTGCAGCTTCAGCAAAATTATATATTATCTATGCTGAATTGATTTGTTTATTTATTGTCTTTTAGTGGATAAAATAGTGATATGATATGATATATCTAGATTCACATCTATCAAAATAGTGTAGACTTTTTTATTGATTTTAAAATATGCAATAAAGGTTCAAATTTTCAATAGGATGGGGTATTTCAGTTTGGCCACTTTCAGGGGTAGGCATGCCTAAAGCCGACCCCTGAAACAATTTTGAAAAAAAAAAGACTAAAAAATTATAAAGTACTGAAACACCAGAAATTTGCATCCCAAGCCTAGGCCAATTACTATATTCCAAGCCTGGCCTGTAATATATCTACATAACGTGGGTATTATACAAAGGCCCAAAGGGTCGAGTCCAAGGCAGTGCAAAATACTAATTCGGGCCAATCTGAGATGCACCCCTAGTTGTAGGCCCAAAAGCTCGCCCCAGATTCATGTACAGCCAGAGCCAGACTATGCCCCCCTGTATATTACGGCCTATTTCATTATTACCCCTTGTTTCAGTCACACCATGGTGGGACTCAATTTGCACCGTACATGTATATATATATATTTACTTTTTTCAAATTGAGCCTAAAAATAAACAAATAAACAATTCAATTCTGCCAATTCAGTGTTTATCAAATGACCCCTAAAACTTATCAGCTGATCTGAAATGGTTAAACATGCCTCCAAACAGGAAGCTTGGACTAAGTTTTTAGAAATGCATTCTGAAAATGTGAAGTTTCGCAAAGAAAATAAACAATAGTGTCATCATAATGTTATCCTAGCTGATCCCAAGGGTTATTTGCACATTCCACAAAAATATAGGACCATTTAAACCTTCAACTCTTTCATATTTTTGTAGTTATAGCTTGATTTCTTTCACCTTTGCACTCCAAGCTCATATATGTCCAAACAACACTTAAACAGATTTCCCTGAAAAAATATTGAATGGAAATATTCAATATACATTTTAAATGTAAGTGACTAAATGCATGCATGATCTATTAACCATTTGAAAAATAAATAAATATAACTATATTTTTTTTTGGGGGTTACAAACATAACTGTATTAAACTATTATAAAAATATACAATGCAAAACCTTATATTTTGTATGTATTTTGTGTTTGTACTCTTTTCAAACTGACCCGTGACGTTGACACTTGATACAATATTTTTGAAGATCTATTTCACTTTTTCAACACCTGTATTATTCATGCACTACATTTTTATTCGTCTTGGTGCAGGTCGTAAAAGTTATTTTTAATTTTGTGATGTCAAAATTATACTTTACAACTTTGCACATGTACATAGCACAAGTCAGTATTTTAGTTTTATAAAAGTCCAAGAATTAACCTTTGAAAATTATGCTATTTTTAGTGAGTTCGGATTTCTTGCACACACAAATTCTGCCCATATTTATGATATTTACACATGGAGAACATCTCATCCTCTGCATAGTATTATGCAAGGGGAGATGTTTTCAATTCATAGGGGTAGTGTGTTATGAGTAGAGGTGGGCAGGAGATCCGAGTCGTTTTTACTACAGTTTAACTATATATATTGGGAGATATTCTAAATGTAGTACTGTAGTGAGACATGAATTGGTGTGGGTAGGACTCAAAGCAGGATATGTATAATGAACTGGCCCTGCCAGAGTGCCAGGGAAAGCTTGTGGTTATGCGAGTTTGATCTAACGCCTCCTTTATTTTAGGGACAGAAATGACTACTACCAAATGGTACAGTTTAACTATTGTCCGAACCTTGAGTTCTAAGTTAAAGCCTTACACTTTTCCTTTCCTTCTCTTAGGCATGTATACTTTTTTTTGACAGGTCTTAAGCATGTATACTTTTGTCTCTCTTTTGATGGGGTTGGGAGAAATAACCTGGGGCTTGTAGATTTACATCTCATTGACATTGTAATAAGTTTACTAAGATTATGTCTAATTTATGCTGCTTACGTCAAGTTTGGCCCCAGACCATGTTGTCAAGGCTAAATTTGAAAAGAGTACTAATACAAATATGTAGAGTGCAAAATTTTGTATTTTGTATGTATTTTCACTATAAATACTTGTATTTGTACTCTTTCCAAGCTGAGTTTAATTGTTCAATTCAACCACAATTCATGGGTGGAATAAGGAGGATTAAACACAAGATTGAAAAGGCTGTATAAGACCACCGGCTTATGAAAGACCATAAACCCAGTTGGTCCAATTTAAATCAAATTGGACCACTTCAGTCCAGCCCAAGATGGTAAGCCAAGTCCTTAAAAATCTCATTAAGAACCGAGAAAAGAAAATAGTATACATAAGGGCCCCATGTCCAAATGGGGACTTAGGGCCTGGATGCACCACAAATCCACAATCCAATCTCTCTCTCTCTCCACCAACATTCCGTGTCATTTCCATCTCCTCAAACCTTCAGAGGCTCAACTATTGCCTCTTGAGATCCACTTGCTTGAAGTTTGTATAAATTATTGTAAAAATAAAGGGAAAAGAATGTATTATTTATCTATACTATATAAAGTAGATACTTAGTTTGGTTCAATACAAATTATAAAAGTTAAATTCAAACATCTTATATTATATAAAATAGATGTGGGTCATTAAAGCTAAATCCAAATGCCATATGTTATACATGCTTAATAATTTTACACATGCATGCCTAGCAAGTGTTCTTACACACTATTGAGTCTTTTTTTTTTGGAATCAAAAGGTATCCATTCATTTACAAGATATTTTGCAAACCACTTTGACATATATAGTTACTCAAATTCTTTGAAATGGGTGACTTTGATGGCCGATGCTATTTTGTCAAATTCTTGACTTTGTTTGGGAAGAATGTAAATACAAAAAGGTGTCCAATGCAAAAACAAAAAGGTGTTCAATGCAAATACAAGGTTTAAAAGTACCATATATAAAATGCTCCACTGGAACATTTTTATATTTGCACTCTTTCTAAACTGAACGTCTGAACCTAGACTCAACAGCTTTCCCTCAACTTCTTTCCTTTTTCTATCAAAACAAAACTTTGTATATTTGCATTCTTTCCAAACGATCCCTCTGTAATTCTCTACCAAGTTCTTGCCCTCATGGCCTGGGCTCAAGAGATTGTATGGGACTTGTTGAGATCTCATGTTTTTCACATACTTTACAATTCTTAGCCTCATGGAATATAAACCACCCAACCAAAGAATCAGAGCTTCCTGAAAGTAAAACCTTTAATAAGTAAGAACACAACATCCAGCCACATATTAGGCATATTTTCTGTATATGTATATATATTAAATTCAAAGAGAGATATTTCCAATGTAACAGATTGGATGTATGTACTTTCAGAGCATTTACAAAGTTTTTGCATTTTTGGAGATCTTGTTTCCCAATAGGATGGTTTCATTCAATGAATGGTTCTGATTGATCATATGGAATGCACTTCAATGGTGCCATGGTGTTTACATTGGAGACCAAAATGCAACCAGATGGGCCGGAGACGAAATCATTCACTGGGCTGGCATGTTACTATGATGATAGGCTGCCCAGCCCACACTACGTGATTTTGTCTCGGGCAGGCCAGTTGACTCAACTAAAATGTATACGTTAAACGGTTAAAGTTCTATATGTTAAGTTGATCGTGTAGACCAATGAAGTGATAGACTGCGACTGGGGCCGCCTACTATTAATGAATAAATGATATGCTCTCTTTTCTTGAGATTTTACTTCCAAATCTAATTAAATATCCAAATTAATAAAAGACCATTTAGTAGCAATTAATTAGGAAAAATGCTAAATGTTTTTATAAAGTTTTAAATAAATATCATTTAGGGGACCAGATCTGCTCCTCACAACTGGCGCCTCACACGCACATCCTACTATGCATTGGGAACATCTCCCGTACTTATCAGTAAATATTCACAGGAGATGTTCCCAATGCACAATTCATGTGCATGTGAGGCACCCATTTGTGAGGAGCAGATTCCGTCACCATTTAGGGAGCGCTTTCCTCCTCACACCACTTGTAGTCATGCATTGGTAACATCTCTCTATTTGTATATTTTAATTCATCAAAGATGTTTTTTAATGTATCACTCTAGTGTTGTGAGGTGGGGATGTGAGGACCAATTTTGTGAGAAGGAAATCTGAATTCTCAGTTAGGTCAATAAACAAAACCTATGCGAGAGGTTGTCATCTCGGTTTCCCTCTCAAGGTTTTATTGAGTCTTCATCCTCCGGTGATCCCCTCTCTTTACTCCTCCAGGAGTTGGAAGACTCCCCACACCTCTGTTTCTATCTCTTTGCTTTCCATTTATATTGAGTTGTGTTGTATATTTAGAGTTAGGACGCCAACAAAATATGTTTAATACATCATCTTACACCACACATCTCATACATGGCGGGTCTCACTTTTATTGCAGGAAATCCAACTCCGTATGTCATTTGATTACAAGGATCATTTTGTCCTGCTTGCACATTCAAATTGTTCTCAATCTTGCATGGACCATGGGTGCACTATGCAGTATGCTTTATTGCTTGGTCGTGTTACTTGGCGTGTTCTCTTATAGTCTCAACAGAGTTTAGATTATGATATTTGGATGGAGGTGGTATCTTTTTTGCAGGCTAATCACCATTGATGTTGGTCAATAATGGCAAAGGCAATTACCATCGTTTTCTCAGTAGGTGTTTGGCATCAATTCCATTTCTTTATAAAATAACATTACATCAGCGTTACATCAAAAATCCATTTTTTGGAAAAAATGTCTACTGTTTGGTTAGTCATTTTTTCAAAAAACATTTTTCTAAATCATGTCTTAAAAACCAAAAAAGGTATGATCTTTTGGTATTTTCCCATTTTTTCTATTTTTACTAATAATAGTGGCATTGAAAAAACGCCCATGTAATGGCAATAGCAATGGTACCAAATAAAAACCCTAAGAAAACATTTTCCCAAAAAACATCATATTTATACAAGATGTTTGATTCTATGGGCATTTATTCAATAAACATTGTCACATAGGCTTCACTTCATCAGTTCCTCTTTTTTGTTATCCTGTATGCATTGATAATGGAAAAAGTGGACTTCAGTTTTTATGTACGTCTACCATTTGAGAAAGTTATTTTTTAAAACTTCTACAAACAGTTAAACATTTTTTCACTATTACATTAATATGAAGACTAATGGTGCCTAGTGGTGCTTAATTGTTATAAACAGTTGTAATTATTACCTTTCTCAATTTTACACACAAATAAAATATAAACGTGGAATAAAAAAATGTAAACGAAACCAAACACATACACAAATCATTTGTAAAAAAATACCTATGAAACATTGATTACAAGCACCACTTCATCAAATGTCAAACCAAATAAGTGTTTCGACCGTTATTTTGGAAAAGGGGCAACGGTGTCAAACAGCCCCATGGTTGTTAGGTAATCATGGTGGCATTTCATGCGCTGTAATTTGAATTTCATTTGGGTGGTTGTCTTGGATTAGATAAGGTATTAATTACATTTTTCTTCCCGTTTTATCGTTGTACATATAATTCCAATGGCCGTTATGGGATTTTGTTGACTATCATTAAAGTCATATGTGGGTTGGTCGGTTGCTGTTTCCATTGTAGACCCAACTATTTAGGTCACTGCTATTGGGCAATGCGCATACACGTAACAGAAATTTAATTATAACTAACTATAAATCTATAATAACTACTTATCAGAATCATTTTTATTATCAAAAATATCAGAAGCATCTAAATCCCCACCCTTCTTTCTTTGCCTGTCAAGGCGAAAATATTCTACTATGGAGCACGGGGAGAGATTAGGGGTGATCAAGAAAAACTGAAGAATCGAAAATTTTGATTAATCGAATCGAGCGATATATATATATATATATAATATATAATATATTATTTATTATTTATTATATAATATTTTATATGTATTTTTTATTATATTTATATATTTATTTATAATATATTATAAAAATAAAAAACCAATAAACTGAACTGACAATGAATCGACCGGCTTCAATTCAATTTTGATTATCGATTTTTTAAACATCGGTATTTATATTGATGCCATGTGACATCTTAATGTAATCAATGGCATGTATACGTCACATGGTAGCATAATATTAGACCTGTTCATGGGCCGGGCAGGGTTGGGCTCGGCCTGGGCTTTTACTCATCATTAATGGAAATATGCTAGGCCCAAGCCCGAGCCCGGCCCGACCAATGGGCCTATAACTTGGGTCCGAGCCCGGCCCTGATAAAAAGCCCGAAGCCCGAGCCCGAAGTCCGACCTAATAAAAAAAATTATAATTTTCCCTATTCAAATTAGAATTAAAAATTCATATGGTTTTTTTTCCTATTTAAATGAACAATGGGCCTACAAAATGGTTTTTTTTCCTTTCTTTTACGTTTTAAAACACAGTTTTACATTCTTAAATCAAAAAAATTATTCAAATGGACATAATCACATAACCCATTTTAAGTCTAATTTTAGGTCGGGCCAAGCCGGGCTATTTTGACAAAACCCAAGCCTGATTTGAATTTATTGCGGGCCGGGCTTTTTGGCCCGAATTTAAACCCGCGGGCCTATAAACATGTTCAAGCCTGTTCGACGGCCGGGTCAGTCTATCGGGCCACCCGGCCCATGAACATATCTATAGCATATATAAATTACCCATACATTTGAATGTAGTCATTGACAAATATATATATATATATATAACACATATCATTTGATTGTAAGTTAAAAAGAATAAAAATCTAGGCAAAAAATCATTTGCACTCGCATACTTTTGCATTTAGTGTAAATGAAATTGTATTGCAATCAAACAGGTATAGTAAGATTTTTGAAAGAGGTCAAAGTCATCTCCAAGAACAAAAGTGGCATTTACATAACTTTTTGAACATAGAGAGGTCACTAAGTTTATCCTAAAATGATTAAAAACAATTTAAATGTAAGGAGGTCTCCATTTCACCAAGGTCAAATTAGCCTTGATGTCCAAATTCAATCGGTTTATAATTGGTTAAGTTAATACAATATATATTCACATATTTAAAGTTTATACTATATATTAATATAGTTGATTATATATCATTAATGTAATAGCACATGCTATGATGACTAGTGTAATGAATTCTGATGAAGGTGCATATGGCATCCTCAAATGGCAACATGTGGCGCAGGGTAGATCATATCTTTGCCGTTCATTTGTAACTAATTCCAGGTAGGTTCAAGTATAAATAAATGGTGTCACTCCTTAGGTAAGCTATCTTGGCATTTTATTGTTCTTAGTTCTTTAACTTCCTAGTGATCTCGTCTTAGCTATCTTACTCAGGCTTTGTCCCACCTTACTTATTGCACCCTTGCTAATTTGATCGTCGGAGTCTCCGCTCCTGGAATAACACCCAGGGCCTCTGTTGTGTTTCTTCCTACATAGGTTGGACTTACAGGCCCTCAACCCATTCCAAGCAGCAACAAATTCCAATACTTTGATCTATCTTTTATCTCTCTAACACAATGAAGACAAACATCCTCATAGATATTAAGATATAATGAATATATGTTTTTACTACCATATTTTCAAGTTTCATTTAAGTTATTTTAGTTTATTTTGTTAATAATATTTAATATATTTGATTTTTTAATTTCATTTAATAATACTATTTCATGTGTGATTACAAATTTACTAAGAGAATATTTTATTTGAATTTGAAATTTTGAATATAAACGAATCAACTGATTTGATTTGATCCATTTCTTATAGCATTACATCATTTCATGGTCCCTCCCCCATGCATAGAGGTGTAAATCGGGTTGTGCCATCTATATCCTAGCACGCGAGCTATGCCAGGCATGGCACGATTGTGTGGGCTGTACTGGGCCAAGGGTTTTAGGTCCGTGGGTCGTGCATACTGTGCCACCCACAACATATATATTTATATACTATATATTATAATTATATAATAATACATAGTTTATAATAATATAAATAAACAATTGTATACATGAAAATTCATATAAAAAAATTTGAGATTTATTTTTCAATTTTTTTAAATAATTTTTTTGTAGTTTTGGTCCCATCCACGGTCCCATCTAGCCCCAAGGCTTAGCCATGAATTAGCCCTGTCCGTGGCACAGCACTGACACGTATGAGCTCGGGCCGTAAACCGTACCGGGCTGACCCCAAAATATCTAGGGGAGGAAGGCAGGCCCAGGACGGCCTGCGGTTCACATACTCCAAATTTCCGGTAAAGTTGCTTTTCCAACTTCTTCCTCTCTCATCTCTTTCCTTCGGTTCACAACTGACAACTCTAATCGCCCGCGCTCTTTATATACAGCGCTTCAACTTCCTCAATCCCCTGAGCCAACGCTCGTTTCACTGTTGTTTTCGAACTTCATCCTTCTCGCAGTATTCCCTCCGTCTGAAAAAGAGTAATCAAGCATGGAAGCTTTTTGCAGGAAAGAGTTGCCGCTCTCGGAGGAGCTCAGCTTTGCATCCCAGTACGATAGAAGATTTTCGAAGAACGTTCTTGATAACGTCCATGGAACCATCAATCTTGATCCGGTATCAGCATCTGAGTCCATCATCGGATTTAAATTCTTGATTATACGTTACATTTGTTTCACGGCTGCTTGTTTTTGCCTTCTTTATCCTTTTTTTTTCCCCTCATTTTGGCAGGATTGGAGTGTTTTTGTTTACGGTGCATTTAGATGGAATTTATATGTAGAGTTAGAAGATTTTCAAAGAAATGGAGTCTAATAAGTGACTGAAGGAGAAAAATAAACTTATAGGAATTAAAGCAGACTGTGAAAAAAATGAAATGATTCAGTCATGAACTTCAAGACTAGATGGAAGTACTCCATGAAAAAGAGTATTTAATAAAAAAAATAGAAGAACCCAAGACTGGAGAGTTATAGGTAGTTGCGACGTTGCGATCTATATATAAATGCTTTTGTGAATGAGATCTAGCGTTTGGCTTTTCATGGCAGTCTAAATATACTTCAGCTCATATGTTTAACCGAATCTAGTTCACTCTCCTTTTTCTTGGTAAGTTAGCTTCATGATATTTCATCCCTCCGTTTTCTTCTGACTGTTCATCATCCCTCTGTTCAATTCTGTCAGTAGTAACTTAGGTAATTCTGATATATTTCCCGTCGCTTTACCTCAATTAAATTGGGCGATCAACTTCACAAGTCTGGCTGCCTTCCTACGACCTTTCAGTTTAGATTTACATCTGTGGGTTGATGATGGACATGATTATGTCTGAATAGTATTGCTGTACTTCTGGTTTTTTATATAAATCTACACCTACATTCTTTTTATTCATTTATCAACAAGTACTCTTAACCTGGATTTCCAGATAGTTGGATAATTGAATTTGAGTACTATTTTCTGGATGGTTGCAGCTCTCTTTGAAGTTTATTGACACTGAACAGTTTCAGAGGCAAGTGTAATTACTAAAGTAATTTCTGATTGTTTTTCGTTTCTGTTTATTGTCTCAGTCAGTTATTTTAATTATACTATACCAAGTTACCAACCATCTGATGTGGTTTTGTTCCAAAATTGCAGGCTTCGTGATCTAAAACAACTTGGTAAGTTTGACTATCTTCTTTTAAGTCAACCGTTAGGAGAGAAGGTTTAATTTAGGTATGAATGCTTCTGCCACAGTTTTCTTACGTTTGATAAAATAGCATGATAGCAATCAAATTTGTCGTTGGAGGTTGAATGGGTTCAGCAACTGGAGAATTTTTGTCTTTACATTTATTTAACTTTGAATCACATTATTACTAGTTTAATTTAGGTATGAAGTTCCACACAGATAACTTCTGATTTTATATAGTACCATCTTGGTCAAAGGATCATTGTAGCACTATTTTGGTTATTTTGCAATAAGAAACAAACTTCTTTTATCTAATTGTTCCAATTAGTTTTGATGCTGGACCCAAACAATACCAAAGTAGGTGGTTCAGTAACTTAAGTTGGTAAAAAGCAGGCTATAATACCTGGATACTTGTACATGCCTAGCATACCGGTGTTGGATATGATACTGGATACTGTATAAATACTTCTAGATGTACTCTACAGCATTAACACTTTCAAAATATATAAAATGGTATGTTTAAACAAATTATACTATAAAAATCTGCACATTTTAGAAATTTAAATAAATTTGGCAAGGCATAAGTCTTTGGCAAATGACATTTACAGCTTCAAAAACTAGATATAAATGCATGATATAAGCATATTAAATTGGACACCCATACTTGCATCTGTGTCTAAGATTTTATGAAACGGAGCGTTGTATCTTCTTTTCCTGCACCTGCATCTGTGTTTGTGTCTGAATTTGGGCATCATAGACCACAAGGCCCTCAATCTTTTTAGCTTTAACACTTACCTTAATTGTAATTGAAAAAGGGGGGTGGACAAAATTTAAGAATGTTTAAACATGTAAGAATAATAGCAAAGCAAACATGAAACTGATAAAAAAGATCCAATAAAGAATAAAGTAAAACTCAACTAGTGCACAAGGTGTCTATTGTTGAATAAAGATTGAGCCTAATGGAGTCAATATCATTAAGTTTCTATAGAAGTCAGCACCTAGAGATGGAGTATTGGAGTCAATACCATCAAAATCTTAGAGTCAGCACCAAATAACCAAACTGCAATGAACACAGTTCATATTCCACCCATCTCCCCAAAACAGTGTTTACTAGGATTTAGTATCTTTTTAAGATCTATAGATATTTATTTTCCTAATAAGCATAGCTGCATGGAAATACTTGTTAACAAAGAAATTATTCAAATCTAAATTTTTAAGGTCTTGTCTATTAAAATTTGAAGATGCAATCAATCTCTTTAATTGATTTGATTGAGAGAATCTCCTACTTAGCACACTTGATTTGGACAATTTTTCTAAAACATGCCCAAGTTCATGGGATATGGCTTCATTCACGAGCTGCTTGGGTGGGCCTACAATTATGGGCTTTGGGGCCCATGGGTCTAAGGGTTGGACCTTCTTCTGTCCCATCAGCCCATGTCTTCATGGGATATGGCTTCATTCATGAGCTGCTGGAGTGAGTAAAACTTTATAACATGTTAGGTTTTCATCAACTAAGGTGGCGTTTAGTTTGTGGTTCTAAAAAAGAGTGGTATGGTTAAAAAAATGTGCAATTTTTTTTTTCAGAAAATGACAATGCATTTTTTTGAATCGAGTAGAACAAAAGAAGCCGTGCTTTTCATGGTTTATTTCTTGAACTATTATGTGAGTATCAATTGTTGACTCATGTGCAAATGTAGTTTCACCACCATTTACTTTTGATCATACTATATTGCTGAGTAGGAAAATTATAACTAGCTATGTTGTTTTGTGAGACACACCATATAACTGCCACTGCAACCTGGGTGACCAGGGTTCAAATCTTGGAAATAGCTTCTCTGTATGTGCAGGGGTAAGGCTGTGTACATCTGTCCCTCCCCAGACCCTGCATTGGTGGGAGCCTCGTGCACTGGGCTGCCCTTTACCATATAACTGCCATGTCATGCTTACATCAATAAACCATGTTCCATGCTGAGAAAGCCATAAAATCTTGTGATAAAAGAATGCTTATTTTTTTTTGGTCCTGGAACCATGAATTGCTGGCTCCAGATCCGGCAACAACTTACAAAACAACAATTCCACTTGTGGTGTGTTCTAGAACAAGATGAAATGCGAAAGTGACCACAAATCGAAAATGCCCTAATCTATTCTTTTATCAACACATCGCCTACTTTCATATTTTTTTTGTTAGGCTCCGCCTACTTAATTCATGTCATGCATTCTGGGACCACTTGACCAATTTAGAGCTTAGGCTTTTGCATTGGGATTTAGGAAGATTGAAACTCAAAAAAGACAACTGTGCATGCTGGAAGTCATGTTTTGCAATCATTTCTGCATATTTTTATTTAGATCCATTAAAAGATAAATCAATTGTACAAACAGAATTCAGACAATTTTCTTGCAACAACTAATTTTGCACATGCAGTGCACTTAATACATCACTCTTTTTGCTACCATCAGAGTACAAAGGTTTCTTCTTTAATTCAGTTTTGGTTGGTATATACTTATCTCTTAAACAAAGTTCCATGCATCTTTCAGGTCTAACATACATGGTTTACCCGGGAGCTGTACATTCACGGTTTGAACATTCACTGGGAGTGTATTGGCTTGCTGGTGAAGCAGTTCAGAAGCTTCAAACTTACCAAGTATGGAACTGCTTCTACTTGCTTTGCTCATTCTCATTGCAGAATCAAAACATTATTGAAAATATTCTATCTATTACTTGTGGTGTTCAGGGCTTGGAGCTTGGAATTGATCATTTTGATTTTCAAACTGTGAAGATTGCAGGTGATTAACTGTACTTGCTTTGAAATTAGATCTTCTTGAATGATCTAATCCTGTCTGTTTTGTCTTTTCTGTTTCTGTTTATAGGACTACTGCATGATATGGGGCATGGTCCTTTCAGCCACCTGTTTGAGAGTGCTTTTCTTCCTCGGGTTCTTAATGGTGTCAAATGGTAATCCTCACCTCCTCCACAAAATGTGTTATTTTTCCCTATAAAATGTAATTACATGAAAAGGAGGATGTTTCCAATGTTGGGTTGCTATTTCAAGTTTATGTTTTCACTTAACACTCATGGTTGCAACACTTGTGAATTGAAAACTAAGGCTCTTTGTTGATGCAGTTACTGCTCTTTTCAGTTCAAATATTAGATTGCTGTTGCAAAAATGTCATCTACAAAGTTAAGAAGGCTTTATTATTATTGTTTGTTGTTATCTTTGGCAATGTACATAATTTATGTGATGTATTACTGAGACATGGAAGCAAAATTCACTCCTAGAAAAATCATCAGGTATTAAAATGACCGAAACTACCCTTCCACCATGTATTCTGCAATTAATTGGACCTTGGGAAAAACAGACCAAAAAATCCATCATTTTAGATTTTGCATTGTTCAAATTTTTGAGCCAAACTGCAAGATCTAGAAAGTGCTTTGTTTTCTCTTTTATCTTGCTATTCCACTTCCATCACCATTGAAAAGTAGCTTTGTAGATTATGTTTTTTTAGGGATTTATGGTCTTTCGGTAACTATATTATCAGCCCTTTCTGGCACTTGGATTGTATAATTGATAATAATGTAACAGTAACAATTGGACTTTTAAATGCCTCTTTACCACTATTTTGTTCAGAAATCATTGGTGTAATAATCCCCAAATTGGAAGGTACAAGCTGGTGGAAGTGAAGTCCTATTAAAATTTGAATCATGATGATTCTTGCAGTTTCTATTCATTCTTCTAGAAGATCTATTAGTATTGCATGAAGAAGATCCTACATTTTGGTAAGCTAGTCGAAATACAATTTTCAAAATTTCCCAAGGTGCCTCTCTGTCCATTATGTGGGTCATAAGTTCTTTTATGAAAGTTATTTGTTTAAACCTGTGTAAAATTACAACTTCACTGGAATTCATTTATTGATCTCTAGTTGCACTCTTGGTAATGTATGTTTGTCTTTGATCTTGTTGAAATATTTTACTAAAATGGGAAAACAACTTTTCGTAAGAAAAAAACAGTAGTTTCTTTGTGAAACTGTGTCATTGCTCATGTGGAGATGATTTTCACTTTTCCAGGTCTCATGAAGAAATGTCAGTTAGGATGGTTGAATACATTATTGATGAACACAATATTGAAATTGATCCTCAAAGTCTTAAAAGAGTGAAGGTAAGTTTATGCTATTAAGATTTCATATGCTGTAGTCGTATTCTCTTTGAAGATGGTATCTAATAATTTTCTTTAGCAGCAGTTTATCATTAGTTGTTCTTTCCATCTTTGATCGTTCTTTTTTCTATGTAGGCATGGGATACATTAAAACTCATTCATGAATTCAATTTATCTTTTATGGTAACCTTTCCATATCATGGAGTGACAAACTGCAGTGGTTCCTCAGAAATTTTATAATAAATATTGTAGCTACTCACCAGATTGAAAATTTGAAACTAATACAATAATGTAAAAATTGTTAGCATTCTATGCAAACTTTGTGCATTATCTTTGTTAAAGTGAACAGAATAGGGGTAGTTTAGTCATCTCATGTTTGTTAAGTACCTTGCTTATGTGGCAGTTTTATTAGTGATACTCTGCCCCACACTTAAGTAAGGGCAGTTTAGTCTTTGTAAATGTTATTAGAACCTAATAAACATTAGGGGGTCGAATGAATAGTGAATCAATGAGTTTCGACTAAACCCTCCTGTTCTCTCTTTCTCTTTTCTTCTTCTTCTTCATCTTCTTCTTCCTTCTCTCCTGGTTCGGGTTACTGTAGCTGCATTCGAAACATGGTATCAGAGCGAGGTTCCTGACCTGCTTCAGTTTGTAAAGCATCCCAGCTGTGTTCGTGACACCTTCTTCTTCATTTCTGGTTAGTTAATGGAGAGAACTGGTTCGCCCTAGGTCTGAGACATCACAGCTCGTTTCTCTTTGCTGCGCACAGTCTTCTTCATCAAGGAAAGTGATTTCAGCAGTGAATGGTTGGTTGATACTCTCAAAGGAAGGTTGGTTATCTAGTCCTTTTGTGTTGGTGGTATTTCTGGGTAGAAACCCTTCAAGAATCAGTTAGTACTGATKAGAACTTAGAGAACTAGGTTCGAATTTGCCCTAGAACGGGCTGTGTACAGTAGCCGAATGGTGTAGGGGCTGCTGTAAGTGGTTGAGTGGGTTAGGGCTGTTGCAGGTGGCCGAGTGGTGTAAGGTGTAATGCAGTGACCTTGCCGAGTTCTTTGTGGTTGTGTAATGCCCTCTTAAATGTGTTAAACAAGTCTGAACTGGGTGTAGCAGATTTGACTGTGTTATGGTGCACAACTTTTATTGAGTGGTTGTAAGAGGGCCTACATGTGATTAGTGAGTGCTAAATTGATGCTTATGTGGTTCGTGGGTTTGTGAAGTCAGCAGTAGTGTGAATAAGAACAAGGCGTGGGCTCTCTCTGTTGTATTTAGGGGCTGCAATAGGTGCTGATATATCAAACTGTGAATAACATCAGTCAGCTTGTAGCTGAGAAGTCAGGTTAGAGGCAACTGTGAAAGAGTACAATGGCAGCAATAGGAGATGGGTACAATGTTCAGAAACCTAGTGTGGTGGTTTCCCCCGACTACCTAGGGGTACAGATGACCTCAATTAAACTGAATGGGGAAAACTACGTTCCATGGGCTAAATCTGTGGAAGTTTTTCTCAAGGCAAAGAGGAAAGTGAAGCATGTAAAAAATGAGAAGCCATCGTTTAATTGATTCCCTTGACCATGTGAGTTTGTAATGAGATTCACTACTTATTACTAAGTTTATCTCTTTCTCTTCATGCATTGTTTGGCTTATATGTTTCTTGCAGTTATGGCACCACCCTTGATGATCCATCCAATGGTTGAAGTCTAGCAATGTCTTTGAAAGTAGTGGAGTTAAAACAGATTTTCTACCATGAGTGCAGTAGAATGTTGTCATCTTCTTCACCTACTTATATGTGATCAAGCACTGAATGGATTTGCACAGGCTACTTAGATTTTTTCAAATTGATAGGTTCTGGCATGAAGTCAAAATTGCTTCAAATGTTATCTTGCAATTTTATTGTTTTGCTCTGTTTATCCTACTAAAATCGAATATTAGTTTTCCTCTTTTTTGGTCAGCAGGATAGAAATTGAATGAGAATGGCACACTGGTAGCACGACCAAAAATAGCATTCCTTTTAAATGATAGTGACCTGGAATTGAAATGTCTACTCAGTTTCCTGGGTTACTTTGCCAGTGAAATTATCATGTTTAGGCTACTTCTTGGGTCTTAAAAATATTGTAAAGTGAATATAATACTATAACCTTGGTTAGAAAAGAAAATTAAAAGGAAAAAGCACAATCTAAATCTGAATTCTGAAATATCATGGTACTATATGTCATGGTGTATACATGCAGTTAATATGTGACATTGTGTGTAGGTCAATGCATGCACCATGACCTGTGATGTCATCCCTTGAATTTTAGATAAACACTTTACAGACTTTCTACATTTTTTTTATAGTAAAGTATCAATTCATCAAAAGAAAATGCAAGGCTAGGTGATAAGTTATCAACAGAGATAAAGAGAAAACTCCCACAGTTATAAGGCCTCCCACACAGAACATGACCACACCCTACATGTTCAAACCAATAGCGCACACATTCACTAAAAAAGTTGGACCTCATACATCTTGCACTAAATAAAGAAAATCCCAACCCTACGGAACCCACCATTTTTACAGCATTCCATAACCCAACTATATAATGATGCCTGCTGATCGTTGCCCATCAAAAAAATAAATGTAGAAAAAGAAGGATATTGTACCCTTACTTTCTTCCTTATGATATAGCACCAACCTTTCCTACATCAAATTTCACAAGAAATTTCTGTCACTCCCACCCCTCATTAACTGCAGCTCATTTCAAGCTCCTTAATTCTTAGAAGAACCAATATCTTTTGTACACTCTTTCTACATATTGGTGGTTAGTTGTTCCTCTCTTTCAAAACATCACTTCCTAAAGTTGTGGGGATCATCTGCATTGAAAGTGCTTTGCTGTTTACTAGTCTTGCTCCCACTATTTACAAGTGTTACATATTTAAACTTTCCAAATATTGGTTTCACTCTTAACTGTGCATAAAAAGATGCTTGGAGTAAAAATGGTATATTTTTTTGATCGTTAGTAAAAATGGTATATTTAATTTATAGGATCATAAAATTATGAACTTTCCTTTTTAATGTCACTATTATATTATTTTTATTTTCCCCATTTTGACAGGAAATGATTCTCAATAGCTCTGAAACTGTAGCTACAAAAGTAAGTCATTTTTATGGTAATTCTATTCGTATAGTTCTCTTATCATATCATATGGTTATGGCACCTTTTGGTACCTTATTCGATGCTTCACTGTCGAATAAAATTGTTTTATTTGTTTTTTCCAGAGCATGAGAGAAAAGCAGTTCTTGTATGATATTGTTGCAAATGGTCGAAATGGGATAGATGTTGACAAGTAGGTGGTATTTATATTAATGAATATCACTCCCTTTTCCCCTCATCCTAGAGGGATGCCTATACTTTTGGTATTGGTGCATGACTCATGCAGTGAGGACATGATTATTTTGTAGATTTGATTACATTGTTCGTGATTGTCGAGCTTGTGGTATGGGCTGCAATTTTCAATTTCAGAGGTACGAATTGGAATTCTACACAACCTTGCTAATTACCAGAAGTAATACACGTGATGACGTGAAAGTGGAATTTTACTTGTAACAAGTTTTGAACAGTATACAAATGCAGTAATGTATTATAAACTTATAATATTACATGTTCTGAATCTTAACCATTCAAGAGTAGCATATAACTTCTGAATAAAAAACTTATGACAACTTAATTCTGAAATCTTTGTACAAATATGAGGTTTCCCAAATTGCATTGAAACATATTGAAGATTCAGGGAAATGACAAGTTTATGATTTTGGTTTATTTAGAACCAGCTCTTTGTCCAATATGAAGATTTAACAGTATTTCCACACTATTCTTCAATTAACATGAAACAGCTTACCTTTTCACTTGCAGGTTAATGGAAACCATGCGGGTATTGGGTGATCAAATTTGCTATCGTGCCAAGGATTGTCAGTATTTGTTTGTTTTCTGGCACAGTATTTGTTGTGATTCAGTTTTCACATCTATTCTTGATGAACACCATATTTTATTCTTTTTATGTTTAAATTATTCTGTCAGATCTCACCGTTCACAAGTTATTTGCAACTCGTGCTGATCTGCATCGAACAGTCTATACACATGCAAAAGTGAAGGTATAATATGTTTTCATTTTTCACTACAGATATTTCCAAACTAATGTAAATACTAACTGTTTTCCCATTCTGTTGCTATGTAAAAGGTTGTTTGGTTAGAATTGCATGTTCTTTTTCAGGCAATAGAGCTCATGCTTGTAGATGCATTGCTAGAAGCAAATAATTGTCTAGGAATTTCTTCTCATGTTGACAATCCATCCGAATACTGGAAGGTTTTAAGAGCTCTGTTATGGATTTAAGTTCATATTTTATTCTTCCAATAGTCATAAAGGACTAATATCAAGTACCTTTTGGAAATTTGCAGTTGGACGATACAATATTGAAGACTATTGAAACATCTTCAATACCAGAACTGGCACAAGCTAAGAATATTGTTCTTCGCATTCGTAGAAGGGATCTGTACCAGGTATTGATGTTGGTCGACTCACTTTATTGTTGTCAATTTCTACTCACCATATGGACAAGGTGTGCTTTACCAGAGGGAATTTAATCTTGGGAGTACAAAAACCTTTTGAAATAAATATACATTTAATATTTTTTATTATTTCTGGAGAATGTGTTGTAGTATTTTATGTTTCTCTGTGGCAGTTTTGCAATGAGTATGCTGTTCCAAAGAATCAGCTGGATCACTTCAAAGATGTCACTCCACAAGATATAGTTTGTGCGCAGGTCCATATGAAACATTTTTATTAATTTTCTTTGCTCTAGATTGGTAATTCTCAACTTGGGTTCTCACTAATTTCATTAAGTGTAGAAAACTAGTAAAGTCTCACTAAGAGAAGAGGATGTTGCTGTTAGTAATGTCAGGATTGATTTGACTCGCGGAAGGCATAACCCTCTGGAGAGGTATTTGAGATAGCCTAATAATTATTGTGCCAAATTTCTGTTCTTTCTTCTGGAACCTCTAATTTCAGTATTTAATACTTCTTTTTGTAATGTATTTTATATTGCAGCATCAAATTTTACAAGGTACCAAAAGTTCACTTTCTTGAACGATCTACATGGTCAGAATTGAGATTTAATAACTTCATATTTCTATTGAACTATTAGCCTCTTATATTTCTTATATTATTTGGCCTCTTAACTGGAGTACTATAGAACCCAGCATGGAGGCTGAGCCACTTGTACTTATGCATCAATGGAGCAGCAGTTCAACCATCTGTGTCAATGGGTAAAACCATGATGTCAACATTGTAAACAATTAAAAAAATCACACAAAAGGTAACCCACTGAATGGGTCAGGTGGGTCAGTTGTTCAACCACCTAGGTTGACAGGTTGTTGACTGAGTCAACAGTTTGTTGTAATATAGAGGGTTAGAGGTTGTGAACAAGGTCTGTGACCGGGTGACCAGATCATCGGTCCAACTGGATGGGTCAATGATGGGTTGAAAGCACTGTAAATTGGTATATTTTCATGGTGGTTGAAGAATTTTAAACAAAATATTTTCTACTTCCTATGCTTCTATGCAAGAAACAATGAAAGATGAATGGCTACACCTGTAATTTCATTTCTAGATAGTTTTTATATGCTTTGTAGTTGGCCTGTGATGGTTTTGTTTAAGCTCAGATGCAATCATGCAAGTCTGACCTGGGTCACCACTGGCCAAACAACTTGGACCAAAAGTGGGTTGATAAAAGATGTTTGAGCTGGGTTACTAAATTCTCCCAGGTAAAAGTATGCTACTGTCTTTGAGTTGGCTAGGAGCCGTCTTCCCTTGAATGGTGGCATGCAAATAAGGGAGATGTTCTCAATGTGCAGCTGTAGTGTCTGGTGGGCAGGTGTGGGTAGGAGATCCAGATTGGGTAAAAATATGTTAGTGTCTTTGAATTGGCAAAGAACCATTTTGCTCTTTTGTATTCAGGTTTTGAAACGAGGTTACTAAATTCTCCCGGATAAAAGTATGTTGCTGTCTTTGAGTTGGCAAGGGCCATCTTGCCTTTTTGTATTCAGGTTTTGAAATGAGGGCTTATTCCAGCATGTGAGACCTATCTATGCCAGTTTGGGTGCTTGGCATAGAAAATTTCTTGGCTACCAAATGAGATCCTTTTATTCCATAAAAAGGGAGGGGAAAAGGCTTTTATTTCATGCACAACATTTTGAATGTCTTGTTTTATTTATTAAGTAATGGATTTCAATTTTCAAGTCCATGGTTTACAAGTTGAATCCATGGCTTCTAAGTTTAAGTCTTGTATCCTTAAGAACTACAAAGATGCACAAACCCATATGATAAAGGCCATCCTTTTTCCACTGATTATTTGTGCAAATTTCATAAACATACATTGTACTCGTGGGTAAGTTCACCTTTTTGTATCATAATATATTTAACAGCTTGTAATTTAGCAGGACTATGTCAGTGAGGATTCGTTCTCTATCCAGGATCATCGGATAAGTCATTTGCTGCCTGCATCCTATCAAGATATGATAGTGAGGGTGTACTCAAAAAAGCCTGAACTGGTCTGTAAAAGATGGCATCAGGAGTCATTCACGTATTTGTTGTTTGCTTTCGTTGTAGTTAAATGATGACTTTTTATTTGGGCATCTGTTTTACAGGTTGAAGCAGTTTCGGATGCCTTTGAAAACTTCCAGTTGAAAACATATGGGACCATACCACAAGTACATGGAACGCCAAAGAAGAAATGCCGAGATTAATGGTTACCACTTACCACGAGCCTTTTGTTTTCATTTGCAACACAGATATAGGTTGATTTAGATCTCAAATAGAACAGCGAGGGGCATGCTTTATATGAAACAGCATCACGAGCTTTTTCCAACTTTCGAGCAAATCAGGAGCCGTCAACACAAGTAGAAGTGCCCCTCCCTCTTTGACGGGTTGACCCTGTAAATGAAGAAAAATGTATAGTCGATGACCATTCTACAGCTGTATCAGAACTCATTTTTGTAAAATGGATTCAATAGAAGCCTGGACGCAGTCATGTACCAAGCTGATTGCAATTTTTGTGAAGTGTCTCAAAATGGCTAGTCCTCATGATCGGGAGATTTGTTTTTGTTTTCCATGCATTGGAATTATTGATTTGCATTTCATGGCATTTGAGAAACTAAAGTCATCATTAAAATTGGAATAATGCAAAACGACAAAACAATAATCCTACAACCACTGTTTCTGCTTTCTGTACCTTTTGGGCTTTCTACGGGCTTTTTTGGGTTAGGAAAATTAAATAGTGGTAGTGGCTAACCAAAGCTGCTACCCCTAATTTTTGGTAGGGGTCCATGAGAATAGGGGTGTCAGTTGGACTGGATTTGGTCCAATCCGATCCAGTCCATCATTGGTCCATTTAAAAATGGACCGGACCAAATCTGGTCCAAATGAAATGCAAATGGACCGGTCCGGTTCAAATTAAATGATTTTAAAATTTACATAAAGCCCAGAAAATATAAAAAAAAATGCAGAAATATATTAAAATTTTCACAAATATATAAAATTGACGCTACCTGCCTTAAAGATACAACATCAAAGAAAAATGGGGTTTTCTGAGAAATTATGATTTTTTCATACATGATTTTGTTTTATGTGGTATAACTTGTGCTCTCAAATTAATGCAATGGAAAACAACATGGTTAGTACCTAGTAGACACGTTTCCTAATTTTCTTTTAATTCATTTCTCCATTATTGATAGTAGTTGCTCTGTCCACTTCCCTTTGTTCACATATCATCCCTCAGGACATGATATGCCAGTTTCATTTGCAGTTGTGCCTATAGAAAATCATGGGAGAAAGAAGATAAACAGAGGGAAGTGGAAAAGGGAGGGTAGGGCTGACTGGCTGAGGAGAAGACAAATGAGGAAAGGAGAGATTGGTTCCTTGTAAATGAAATGGAAATTTGCATGCCATCTAAGACAAGTTTGGAATGGTTAAAAATATAGTAATTTCATCTCTTACTGGATCTAATTCATTATAAAACCAAACATAAAATTTTCTTTATCAGCAGCTAATTATAAAAATAATATGTAATCTTTCTCATTCTCTCGTGGCCATAAAAAGAAAAAGAAATGAAGCAATAGATCAAGTCTAAGATAAATTAGGGCTTTTAACAGAAAGAAAAAAGGAATTATAACATCCTTACTTCGTTCAACATTCAATTGGCTTTCCAGCTGAAGATTCAAGAACTCAAAAAGTTCTTCTGCCCTATCAATGATCGAGAACTCTTGGGGAGAAAATGAACATAACGAAGAAATCCCACTTCCGAATATCAAAGAAGAAACATGATTATTGAGAACTCTCTCCCTATGAACACATTTGGAGCTCGTTGAAGAAAATGGAGTTGCAAAGGAGGCTCGAAGGAGAACCTCCATGAAAGTCTATGGACGAAGCTCAGAAAAAAATGATGGCTAGAACTCAAGGAAACCAACCGAGGGGTGGTATATATCTATTTCAACGATTGATAGACGCCGGAGACTCGGAGAGAGATAGACGCCAGTGAGAAATGTTGTACACACAGCTCAAGCAAACCAACGGAAATCGATTCTTAGTAGGCTGGAGAGAGAACCATTGGAAAAACCCTAGGTCAGTACACGTCGCCGATTGAGAGAACCATCAGAAAAAACCGTTGGAAATTAGGAGAGACAGAGTTCGCTTGGAGAAACCACAAGTCAGTAGGTTGGTTGGAGAATTGGAGAGGTGGAGTCCGAAATAAACTCGATCCTCAGACGGTTTGTAAACAAATCGGCCTCGTCCATTTCGGTCCACCAATTACTTAGGACCAGTCCAATCCGATGCAAAAGTATGGACCGTCCAATCTAAATGCGATTTGAACGGGGTCCAACCCAAATCCGGTCCATTGACATCCCTACATGGGAGTGAACAGAAGAAGCTCTGGCATATATTTAAGTTTTCTCGTTGTCTAATTCATTTTCGGATTATCTTCCAGGACCGGACGCAAAGGCACTCCAAACCAATATTCGTCTATCTTCTTTTCTCTGTCTGTGTTTGGATTGAATTTGTTCTCGTGTATATTATGACTATATGTATTGAATATTGACTATTGATTGTGACCGTGTTGCAGCGACCTCCGATCTCAACCTCTTGCTAAGATAGCTTTCTTTTATGAGTTAATCCTTCTCGCACGGCAGAAGGCTTATTAGAAGAGAAGGACCAGACTGGGGACTGGGGAGATAAGATGAGAATCATGAGATGGTTCAAAGTCACGGGATTTGCCCTTTAACGTGTTTGCTTTGCTTGTCTATTTTACGCCTTTATTGCACCACCTTTGAGTTGATAAATTCGAGACCTTTTCTTTCTTATTTTTTGGCTGGAGTGTATCAGTTGACAGTGTGCCAAGTGCCAACTGGTTCAGGTCTTGGCTGATTGCAGTTGATTGGATCAAATCCCGCTATCATCGCTTACAAGAATTGAAAGGGGTTATGAATATGAATAAAAATCTAGATTTGTTCCTCACAACACACTAACTCCACTACTTGAAGCCGCACATCGAGAATATTTCCATCCTTTTATGTTGTCATTGTTGTTATTACGTATGGTTGCTTGCCACTTACTGTGAGGTGCAAATCCAAATGGGATAATAGCATATAATGGCAATTTTTGGGTTCTAACATCAATACAAATAATATTTTTAAAATAACTTAAAAAAAAAATAGATAAACTTTTTAAAAATAATATTAATTAAGGATAAAATCATTATTCATCTTCTTCTTCCAATATATCTAACAGCACAGCCGCCTGCTACCCTCTCCGGCAACGCCTCCGCCTATCTCCGCCTGTTGCCGGAGGCGGAGGCAGAGGCAGATGAAACGAACAACGGGAATCGGGAGTATCACACCAACAATCGCCTCCGAGATCACAATTCAGTGACATCCAACAACTAAATAGACTTCATGCTTCTCATCTCAGTCTCAAAAGATCCAACCAGACGACCATTAAATCTAACTTACAGAACAGGAAATATAACTCTTGAAATCAGAGTAAATTCCATGCCAGTATCAATTTTAAGTAAAGCAAACCTAACGAATAACAGATCGATAGAACTACTGATTGAAAGGGAATGATACATCAGGATTTGAAACTTCACAGACTTCTTATTCTGAACAGAGTTTAAGCCTTTAACAGAAGAAAAAAAAAAGAAAACTAACGCACCATGGGCAAGCAAAAGCATCATTCGAAGAGAAAACAAAAACAGATAAAAAAAAGTTGCAGAGAACTGATTGATTCTTTCTAAGAAACTTCTAACAAATACATTAATTTAGAATCGCAAAAGATAAGTACAACTAAAAGAAGATAAATAACTAGTTAACCATAGATTAAGTATGTGAAATACGGTAGAGGTGGGTGTGTTACAAACTTGACTGAAGCTGGTTCGGCAGGGAGCTTCTTCACTGGCTCCGAGAGCCAGCCCAATGCCAAAAACTTCATGGCAAGAAACTAGGAGAAGAAACGGAAATATATATAAAAAAAAAAGAAAATGACGCAAGCAGGAGTTACCTAGGCAGATTTTGGCCTGACTGAGAACGATGTACACGGGAGATTTCAGTTAGCTCACCTCCGAACTGTTTTCTCAACCAACGGTGGCGAAACGGTTTGCAATCGAAAGTTTGATGGGCAAGGACGATCCCTTTAATTGTAAATCTCCTTCGAAATGGAAAAGGAGGATGGAAAAGTCAGATTTCCGTCGTTGCTAATGTTTCTGGTTAACCGGTGATGATGACCGAGAACAGAGCTTTCGAATTAACCAGTGATGAGGACCGGGAACAAAGCTTTCGTGGATTGTTTACAAAAAGCCTTGAACGGTGGGGTGAAGAGGAGAAATGAAAGAGGAAGAAAATGAAATCGAGCGATGATTGAGATATCAGATATACGCCGGAGTTGTGTGAGAATGCTGGGATAGTACTGCCGTTGGAAGTTCGGTGTTCTCGAAAAAGGTGGTGAACAGGGCCGGTCGAAGGTAGGTGTGGAAGGAGGAGAAAAAATGGGTAGAGAGAGAAGTGGCTTTCTTGATCGTTGGAGTCGACAGTGGGAGGCAGCTGTCGGAGACGATAATCGGAGATGTGCCGGAGGCATAATAGGAAAAAGTATGGATACACTGATGTAGATTTCTGAATTCTAACCCCCCCTACTACCAACCCATCATGGGCAGGAACATAGCCCCATGAAAATAAAAACACACACACACAAAAAAAAAAAAGGTAAAGCATAAAAAGTGGAGGGTATCTTTTGGCGATGTTTTACATTTTCCTTCCAATTGGAAGTTAATTTATCCATGCAATTCCTTCGAATTGCATAAAAGCTTGGTAACCAGTTATCACTGTTATTAAATATTTTTTATTTTTTGGTAAACACTGTTATTAAATCTTTGATTGTTAAGATGTTTTTTCCCGCATAATGTATTTTCGGTATCGGTATATAGTTTAAATTTTGAAAAGAGAAAAAGAATCATTACACAAACCTGCGGGGTAGCGGATAATTCAATTTCCGTTTGGATTGGGTTCGGTTTAAAGGTGTGTGGCAAAAACTCAAACCATTTATAGTTGGATAAAAAATGGATCCACCCATATCCAGATGACCTGATATATGGATAAAAAATGGATCATAGCCTTATTTTGGTGGGGGTGTTATGGGTTTGGTGGACGACGGGCTACTCTCTATTGTGTAGGCCATGGAACGAAAGAGAAAAATCTCATTGAAGTTTATTTTATGTTTTGGAGGTAAAATCATATATACATTTTTCATTTTATGAAGGATTAAAGCTGGCTAGGGTTTTGTACAATTCTAAATGTGATACAATCCTTGTTAGGGGTACTGATAGAGCTTGGATCTCCTGTCCACGTTTACCCACATAACATCACAGTCACACATAGAGAATATCTCATTCTCCTACATGATATTATGCAGGGCAGATATTTTCAATTCATGGGGGTAGTGTGTTGTGAGTAGATGTGTACAGAGTTCTCGTGGACAGGTGATCCAGAGTCCGATAATCCTCCTCCTTGGTGCATTATTGGTATACTGACAATTACAAGGCCCGTCCAAATCTCT